GCGTATATTCTCCATCAACTAATATTCTCTTCAATCTCGAAGCTGCCTTGACGTAACATCCTTTATATCCTTCTGGGTTATCCTGTGCAAGCGCCATGATGAGAGAAGTGACTGATAGAGCAACACCCATATCCTGATCATCCATAAGTGATATTATGCGTTCTGCCCATTGCGGCTGGACAATATCTGGATGTTTACGATATAAGCGGAGAAGCGTCAGTGCTGCCTTCTTCTTGACGAAAGCCTTAGATGTCCTATGGAATTTATTAATAATCTGAATACAGGATCCCGCTTTAAATACTTACGGTGATATGAGAAGTCTATGGACCTCACCACTTAAGGCTTCACCCATTTCCCTGCTCCCCACATTGGCGATTGCATGGAGCGCTAAGCAATTAAACAATTCGTTATGATCGGTCAAATCCTTTCTTATACTATTGACAACCAGATGTAAGAGTTCGTGCTGTTCGTGCAGGAAAAGAGTCATTGCCAAGTAGCCAATCTGTTTTTCGGAATATTTCGTCGCAGATATGAGATTTACAGCCTCGAGATGTCCAAAATCCACATTCCAACCTAGTATATATATATAGAGAAGCTGATAAATATTATTAACTATTAAGAGCCAAGTAAAATCGATTCCATTCGTACCTTGCAGACATATTTCTTCTTGTGATAGCCACTCAAACTCCCATCTACCATAGTCAGTATCAAATTTTGATCTTCTACCCTCGAAATAGGTCGTTATTGACTGTACCTTTAAACTTTTGGCTACGGAGGTCTCTAGTTAGCAACTTTCCGTACAATCCGAAAATGGTATCATCACCAACCGAATATTAGCAAGCTCTTTGTTAATCCGCTTCTCTTCTAGCTCTCTTGCCCGGGCATTCCTCAAATCGGCGATAAATTGCACCAACCCACGCATATTTGACCCATTCCCTGAGTTCCCCCTTCCCAGGAAACCCGCTGCCGCCGAGCTCGCCATGGTCGGTATTGATAGGCTCCTAAGATCCGGATTCGAATATTCCAAATGCTATATCTATGAGCGGATTTCACCTAGCCGGTATTACCGTCGATGTTCCGCTGCAAGTGATCGAGTCGAGTCGAATCGATAAGGAGGCGTGATTACGAGGCGCAGATAGCCCGGCTGTTCATGTTGGAATTAAAGGATATTCGAAACAACGGAGGACCTTATCAAGCCGGCTAGTAACTGTATGTTGGACAGTCACATATAGCTCTTAGCAAAAGCCGATCCAAATATTTAGGATAATCCTTCAATGTCGCGACCGAAAATTGAATACTTTGAAGATTACCGTTGCAATCCCCTCCCGATATTCTGGCACGTCTAGATGGCTGCGAAGCTTGGACCTCGATATTGACTAGGATTTGGTAAGCAACCGAGCCTCGTCTCCAGTTTCTCGCAGCCTCACCAATAGTTAGCTTTCAACATTACAACCTGATGTCCCTGTGATTCCAACAATGAAGCCTGCAACATATAGGCCATTGCTCACAAAATTTACCCTTAGAAGAAGGCAGTTAATATGTCGATCCTATGCGGTTCAATCACCTGGGCAACCGACACTTCAGGTTTTCAATCGCCATACAAAATGGATGCAAAGAGAGCGAGCAGCTAAGAATGTAGAGATGAGCAGACAAGTAGATTATTTAAGAGATGAAGTGGCTCTGCGGCTATCTGAAAGGTTACTGGTATATCTGATGCAAATTTCAGCTCAATTGATGTCAATTGACTCGTTTCTAACACTGTCTTCAGGACATCAATCGTCATTTCAATCATGTCCTTGACCTAGGAGCTAATGCGTGTAACATTGCCCGCGCACTTACTGTTCCGAATCCAGATCCTACAAAGCCCGAGTCACCACCTCTTTCTACTCGTCTCACGAAGCTTACTGCTGCCGACTCTAGTAGAGCCATGTTATATCGTGATGCTGACCTCCCGTTTAATCAAGAAATAGACATTATAAGAGAAGTACTTGATGATGAGGAAAGGTTGCCATGGCAAGCAGAGACATTTGATGCTGTTTTTAGCTCATTGAGTATGCATTGGATTAATGATTTGCCTTCGTTGTTAGCCCAGATCAACCACGTGTTGAAGCCAGACTCTCCGTTCATTGGAGCGATGTTTGGAGGAGACACGCTTTATGAATTGCGCTCGTCTCTACAACTCGCGGATCAAGAGCGCAGAGGTGGAGTATCACCCCATGTATCTCCCTTAGCAGATGTCAGAGACATGGGAGGATTACTCCAAAAAGCGGGGTTCAAGATGTTGACGGTGGATGTGGATGATATTATTGTCGATTATCCAAATACCTTTGCACTAATGCAAGATTTACAGGCGATGGGAGAAAGTAATGCTGTATTTGGTAGGGAGATGGGGGCTATAGGAAGAGACGTCCTGCTAGCAAATGAAGGTATTTATCGAGAATTGAATGGGAATGAGGATGGGAGTATACCGGCAACTTTTAAGATGATTTATATGATCGGATGGAAGGAGGGCGAAAATCAACCCCAACCACTGGCTAGAGGGAGTGGACAAGTAAATATAAAGGATATACTGGGTGGTGGAGAGATAAAATAAGCTGTCTGCTATAAGAAATGTATACTAAGGTCTAGGGTATGGATCTCACGGATTAGTCACAAAAACTTTTGAGGAATACAGTAATCATAATAGTCTGATTTAGTATGTTTAATGTTGTTATGAAATACCTATCAAGTAAAACGCGTAAATTGGCATCATTTTCTAGCACCCTTATAACACATTGCACATATATTATATGCAGTAGCCTCGGAAATATTGACATGACGTACTGATATAAAGCCGCCCAAACTTGCTAGTATAAAAATCAATATGCAGAGACCGGTAGGATACATTACTGGACTATAGGGAAAGCTCTAGAATTGGAGATCTATATTCCTAGGGTAACCAAGCCCAACTACCAACAACTCTTCCCAATGCCTGATCTGCGAGCTTCGTAAACTGGCTAATACTCAGGTCTAGGTCCGTAGCTTTACATCCAACGCAACGATCTACAACCGTAACATCTACACTTCGATTCGCGTTGACCGCTGCATTGAACCGTGTGATTCGAATCTTGAGACCGCAAAGAGGATTAGCATTGGGATCGGAACCTACAGATTCCTTATCAAAGATTATATGCGACACCGCGCAGATAGCATCTTTGTCTGATGAGGTTATACCACATGCTCCGAGACCAGGGGAATAGTACGTCAGCTCTCCAGTGAAGGTAGCTCTATTGGATGGAAGTGGCAAGTTTTGGGAAGATCTGTGAAACATTGGATTGATTAGATCGCGCATTGTGAATGTGTAAGTAGTGGAATAAAGCCAGAGGGTAAGGATGGAAAGAGAGGTGAGTTATACGAGTTATTTTTGAGACCCAATCCAAGTCCCAGTCCCAGAACAAGTGCCACCAGTAGAATGACACCGCAAAGTATCAACAAAAAGGCCTTGCGACTTCGCCCAAAGTACCTCTTCTGCGCTGGCAATACACGTGAAAAGCTGATTGAACTTAGCCAGGCTTTCCCTTTGGACTTAGGTCTAGTTAAGAAGGAACTAGTCTGATGGAGTGGACCAGCTTTCTTCGTTTTGTTTGAGGAAGGTATTTCCCAGTCAGGAAGCTGATGGGTTGTCATGTTTATTTGGATTGATTAGCAAACACCATACTCTTGTTATGATATCTGGGAAGGTGCCCAATGAAAGGCAGTTCGTGCTGATATGACATTTTCTCAAGTAGGCTATATGTGATGTCGGTATAACCTTAATGTGCCTTCACCCGAAGGAGTTTAAATTGTGTTCCTGCTTTGCATCATCCATGTAACATGCGGATCATGTCTTTCTTGGTGCATCACAAACCTTGATGACAACATCACGAACGTACCCAGAAGGATGGGATCTTCATTAATCTGTCTCGCCAAGATTTTAAAACATGCGACTACATTTTGCATTATCTGTTGTTACAGGTAAACGGCAATGTTAAACCCACCAACTCCACCTATTTTAGTCTTCCAATTTGCCTCCAAATAGTGCAATTATGAGCTAATCTTGTGTTTACATGTCTGTTGAACATAATAGAATAGCATTTCAGTGGGTTCCATATTTTTATCATTTATGATTCTTCAATAATTTCATAGAAGAGCACATTTTGGTCAGAGCTGCGTCGTGACTTATTCTATTCCTCACCGGTGATACTAGGGCAGGTCCATTTACTATCTCTATCTCCTTCGCAATGATGGTAAGTTATCAACGTATATTCAGTTGATTGATCAACTGTATACTTTAGCCCTCCATGCCTAAAGGTGTAGGTGCCATAGTTTTCTCTTGGGTAGATTTCTTTGTTTCTAAATTCCTTCCTCTTCTCGCTACTAGACAGTCGCTTTCTCTGCGATTTTGCGTTATTTTAATGTACCGTGGTATTTGGATTGCATTGTCTGTCTGTATATTTATTCTTACTTCTCCTCTTGACCTTTCGGTCTCCAGTGTAGCACGCTATGGGGTTTAGCCGCAAGGGAGATTCTCCACAAGCCCCCAGATACACAATGGATGCAAGGTATCAGTGGCAGAGTGGGAGATAAAGTTCATGATGCTAAATTGTGCTTAGACAAATAGCTTGCAGCCTACGAGTATAGACAGACCTCGATGAGTAGACATAGTGCTAACAGTTGAATGCCCAGTTCGCTTGATGTGAGCCGGTGAATATAAAGAGCAAAAAGCAACAGGGAGGTTCATCCTCCTTTTCTACCGCTTGAGGGGGAGAAAGAAATCAAAATATGAATCCAAATTAGCAATAACGAAGAAACACAGATCAAGGCTTGACCCGGGATCGAGCCGTGGTCCTCTTACATTTGAAATAAGCCCCGAATTCCTGAATATATATGTTAGGATTCAGCAAATCTGTAGAGGTTTAGAGTGAATTCGCTATCCCAAAGACTTAAAAAAGCAACGCTAAAAAAATCAACAAAAAGTTGATGGGCTCAACCGGTATTTGAAACCGGGACCTGCTACATTTCATCCATTCTGGAGAACAGGGGTGCCTATTCAGACAAGCCCGAAGCAGCAATCATACCACTAGACCATTGAGCCAATTCGGTATCTTCCCGATCGCTTATCACAATTTATACACGTTTTCCTATTAGCGAAGTCCAATAAAGATATGATTGGTTTGAGCCCCTAAGCTTGTCACAGGCGGGGCGTAAATATCGCACAACAACCACCCATACAGTCTGTACACCAATATCGTTGTATCATGCCTAATTGAAAAACACTAACCGTTCTCCAATAGCTTGTTGGAAAGAGGAGAAACCGCTTGTTTTATTCGTATGTCTTTGAACTCTTGTGTGACAAGTACTTCGGCCACGGAATAACTATTATACGGGTACAGCTATCCCATTTTCAAGATCTCATCTCAATAGTCAGATACCATAGTGTGTATCAAGCAATGCGCCGGTCAACTAACTATTGATTGATGCTCGAAAGATCAAAAGGTACCGTCCCAAAGAGTGCAAAAGCAGCTTTGTATTTGTTGCATTTATGTCTCTTTTGATGGTAGGTAACAAAATTGACAAGACATCACAATCGTAAACCAAGTGAGAAATAGCCTAAATTGGATGATAATTGAATTGGCGAATATGATTGGCATGCATTCACTATTATGAGTATGAATAAGTAGTCCTGATCAACAAACAGGCCTGATAGTTCAGTGGTAGTGAGTTCGCCTAATACCTTAATTGTCACACAACATCATTCTAACATATATATCTTCAGGAATTCTTGCTTTGGGATCACACCTAAATTGTAAGAGGTCCCCGTTTCGATCACGGGTTAGGCCCTGTTGTTCTCTTTTTTTGTTGGTTTTTTTTTTGCTACTTATCTTTCAAAGTATTTAGAGAGGTGATTGGCTCGACTTCGTAACTTATATGCGAGATCTTCCGACTTCATCCGGAACTGTACTTTTAGTGAAGATTTTGAAACCGCAATTCAGCCTTCTCATTTATGGAAGGTCATGTATAAGCGAGGGTGAAGGAGGCCCAGTAAGAGTCAATGTAGATTCTTAGGTATCAAGGTGCTGCTTCGATAATTCGATTTTCAAAAATTGTGATAGATGACCCAATATTGGGTTTGCAGGCACGAAAAGCGAGTGGGAAGGCAACTCAATGCATCTCTCAGTAAATAACAAGCCTCTAATTCAAAATTGCTAGCCAATATATAAAATTAATGGAGCACTCTGCTATCTTCAAATATATACACAGCAAGAAGTGAGACTGGAATTGTCACGGCAGGATAACTACACACCCTCATATCCATCTAGCCTCGGGAATAGATTGATCACTCCTTTCACCCTCCATTGATAATTCTAGATCTCTTGTAAGTCAGAGAACTAAAGACGTTGGGTACAGCAATTACACATTTGATATTCAAGTATGTGCAATTCTATGTACCATAAATCGACGCAGCCGTTGTTGCGCCACACCCAGCCTTAACGAGACACCCAGGTTGAGCATCGTATGATCTTCTTCCCTGGTTTTGTTCCTGCATCAGTGACAGATGATTTGCATTAGCATTTGCAGCTGCACTAGTATGATGTGCCTTATCAGTAACACTATTTTTCTTGGCATGAACCAGCCTCCGGTAGCTTGAAGGTCCGGTACCGGCATTAGAATATATAGAAACAGACAGTCTATTCTCAGGCTATGCTCTTTGCTATGGATTATAGAAACTCTATGAGATTCCCCCTCTGGCCATCATCACCGGAGTTTTAGAACTCAACACCCAAATAGACAATGGGACACCACACATGATCTAGCCTCAGCACTATATCCTTTATCTAGTCAAAGTTTCAGATGCTTATGGGTATATCTAGTTTCTATTCTGCGGCCTCGTCGCTGTTTCTGAACCTAAACGCTCATGTTAATTATATGCTCCAGAATAATCTATTGATTCAGAAATATCAAAGATACTTACTTCTCAACAACTCTCTGGATACCATCCAATCCCATCTTCAAAGTCTCCATGGTAGGACCATAGCTGAGTCGCACGAAATGATGACAAGGACTATCAAACAAGTCTCTTCTCTTACTGGGATTAAGATCGAAGAAGATTCCAGGCACAACAATGACCTTCTCTTCTAGACAGGCTTGGAAGAAATTCAAGCCGTCACTGATGGCATTTGGAAGACCTTCGAGATCCAACCAGATGTAGAAAGTTGAGTCAGGGACCGTTTTGATCGTGAATCCCATCTCTCGTAGACGACCGACAACATAGTCTCGTTTATCCTGCCAAAAATTAACTCAAGAAACAAAACATTGCGGGTCTGGTACTTACGCGGAAATGACGCTGCAATGCTGCCATTTCGGTGCGGACTGTGTCTGGATCTAACATTTTGACAGCAGCTTCTTGGAAAGGAACATTAGCACCTCCATCCAGGTAGGACCCACAAGATCCGATAGCTGAGATGAACTCCTAATCCCTTATTAGACGTAATTATAGGGGTCGTTTTGTAAATGGACAAACCTTTGGTCCGATGATCCACGCGATTCTCCAGCCGGGCAGTCTAAACCGTTTTGTGAGACCATCAATAATAAGCACGTCATCTTCATTGACATCTTCGACGTTAGCCGCAGAACTGATAGTAGTACCATCGCAGTCACTGGTATAATTGTAACCTCCATAGAACTCATCCATAATGAGAGTTGCACGATCTCTGCATAGATCATGGATTGTTGCAAGGTCGGGATTAGTGACCACCATTCCTGTAGGGTTACGAGGATTGGAGGTTAGGATAACTGATGTTCCACGAGCGATCTCATCGGCAATCTTCTCTGGGCTTATGTGATAGCCATCTTCCTCGGAAAGAGGAGAAGGTACAGCGGCAAACTATAAGGTCAGCGTTGAGCCGTACTAAAAGACATAAGAAGACTTGGGAAAAGAGGATATTTTATACATACGCTCTTGAACAAGGAAAACATCTCGTTGTAAGCTGTATAATCGGGAATGAAGAACGCAAGATAAGCATTGTTCAATACAGCAGCAATACGAATAAGACCAGCTCGTCCACCAGGAACAATGCAGACGTTCTCCCATGTATACTTGCTCTCTTTTCCTTGCCTGTTGTAGAAGAAGTTTAGCCAAAGAATCTTCGTCAGAAATTCGTTGAGTTCATAACATACCTATGGTGAACGTTGTATAAATTGGCAACAGCAGCTCTGAGGGATTTGATTCCAGCAGTGGGTCCGTACTCTCTACCAGCCATGCTAATATCAATGGTCTCCGGTCTCTTGAAGCTTCCAGCAATATCATCATCTACTTGTGGTGCTCCCTGTCCTAAATTGGCCCACTTCTCAGGCTCGTCCGCGAAGCCATGCTCGTAAGCACGCTCTGTACACCAGATTACTCCTGTGCTAGATCTTGTGGGATCAAGACCGGCATGTGGACGATGTCCCTCATGAGCGTTACGGAATTGTCGATGGATCTTAGAGTTGATTTCTACAAATGGTTAGTTATAGGAGAGCGAGTATGTAACAAGGGATACTGTGGCTAATAGAAACGATAATCTCATGGGTGCGAGAGTAGAATATACATGGGAATCCAGTTTCCACATGTTTAAGGTATATGTAAAATATGAAACGCTTTACTTTTGAAGATTTCGAATCTTCGCATACACAACATATAGATGTGTAGCTATACTTCCACTGGTTTATGTGGTATAGCGCAATATTGTGTTGGTATGAACCCAAAACAGGGAGATTGAGAAACCTATTAGACGTACCATTGTGGCTTGGATCGTGAGTACTGAATCTTCTGGTCCTAGATTCTCTTGGTACCCCAGAGTTCCGATTAATGGAGAATTGCCGTTTATGGAAGGACATAGCTGCTCTAATGCCCGATACCGGACCAGTTCTTTCCTATTCCTGTTGTCTAAAACCAAAGAAAATATTCCTCTTATTCCGAGGGAACGAATCTAAAAGTATAAAGAGTTTCTTTTAGGAAGAAAAGCCTCAAATTGGGGAGAGACTGGATACGTAATATAGGGAAATATTGAAATGTCCAAAGGCGAGAAAACAAGGTGGGGGAGGTCGGGCATAATTCTGCCCCACCTGGCGGTGAAAGAGTGATGGCTATCAGTGGTTATCGCTACAGGTACGGGTGACAAGGCACCCTGATCGACGCTTGCATCTTCGAATTCGAGGCATTTATACGGCCGCTGTATCACCCGCCACAAAAAGCAAAGGCAAATAAGCAATTACCTCGACTAAACGGCCTCCCGCTAGAGATGCAGGTGATTGAAACTGTCCACTCTCTGATTTACAAGTCAAATTCGACTGCCCGAATGGAGATAGTGAACTGGGATGTATGCCAGTACAATTGCGCGTTCACCTTAGTAGCTGAACAGCTGTCGCTGGGGTGTCACCCGCATTCATGTAATTAAAAAGGCCTTGGTTAATATGCTAGAGAGATTGGACTTTGCACGATAATACAGACCTAATTCTACACTTTAATCTAGATGACATAAGGAAATAGCTCACACATAAGTACTCAGGTAAATTCAGAAGCAGTCTCGTCCTCCTCCAACATTCGTCTGAATGAGAAAGGTTCAAACGGCACACCATCGCCCATGAAATGCTTGCTCATGGCCTCTACCCAGTGTAGACGCAAGCTGTGTAACATAGCACTGGTACCTTCCATGACAACTAGCACAGCAATAGTGAGGAAAAACCAAGCGAAGAATGTAATGACGAGCAGGATAACGCCAAGAGCTCCTGGAGTTTTGAGGCCAATAGCTAGGGTCATGGTCCAGAGAACAACCGACAGCTGTTGGTGGGCAAGTGAAAGAGCCCATAGACGTAGGTATGAAGCCGTGTGGGAAACGCAGTTCAAGCAGAATTCTGAAAATATTAGTCACCGAACTAAACGACCCAGATATATGACTTACCGATAGTATGAATAACTTGGTGGATCATGACATCTCCGAATTCGAACTCTTCATGCTCCGCATCCACATCAATATCTTGAGTGATCATGGCTACACCCTCTCCATCGCTTGCAATGCTGGCTCGGCCATCCAATGTATGGCTATCATCGTCTTC